CGCCCCTCGTTGGAAGCACTTGTCTTGCCAGAACGTGAAAGCTGGCAACATTTTTTGTATTGTTTCCCGTCCGTCGCTTACATTTAGTGTTGCTGTGAGGAACGGATTTGATGCTGTTCAGATATGCCCAATTTCATCCTTGAGCTCCTCCGTAGTCGTCAGATGGTGCCAGCCAGTCCCAGGCTCTGTTTCCAGCTTGCTGTCATTCGGATTTCAGCAGTCCATGTGTTTATCACGATGTATTCAAGTCTCACTGCCTTGCCTGACCCCACTCAGCAGATTCAAATGACTGACGTCAAGAAGTGCCCGCCTCTTGTGTTCCGTTCCCCTCTTCGCTCTCATCCCTGGAAGCACCTTTGGCACCATGGCCACTGAGGGAACAATCCTACCTGCTTCTTTCTGCGTGGATATCTGCTCCTGATCCCTTATGAAGGGCCCCAGACAATCTTCACTTCTGGAAAATGACCTTTTTCCCTGCAGCAATCTCATAGGCTTTGCCACACAGATTTCCCCTGTTCTCAGGTCCTTGGATAGCTAACCTGGGACTTCCAGCAAGGTGCAGCTGACACATCGGAACCAACAATCATTCCCAGTCATCATCCCACTTGGCCCCATGAGGTCAGTGGGATGTCCCTGCTGCCCTGAGGCCAGGGCAAACTGCACCAGCAGGGTCTTCTAGGAGCTCATGCATTGATCAATTAAGTTATCGCAGATCAGTAAACAAATGAGTTGAGGCTCCCCACGTAGCCATCTTTGGCTTCTGCATAACCAACCGCCCATCCTTCCTGGTCTAGGACGTGTTGTGGTAACAAACGTCTCCTATGAGTTCTTGGTTTATTTGGGGCACTGCAGATGCTGCCAGATATTTACTTTTATGTGAAGAGAATTACACCGCTCTTGCAGTTGGGGGGAGGGAAGGGGGAGCTCAAGGCTGCAGGGGCTGGCAAGCCCTTCCACAGCTCAGTCACCAGGGGCTCCTTCCCCCTCCCCTCCAGATGTGGCCCAGCCCCCAACCCTCTGGAGATCAGTTTTGTCAAGTCAGCAGATCCAGACTATTCCAAGCATGGAGGGCCTCGAAGCCTCCAGCGCCCAGGCGGCACACATGGCCCACCATGTGGGGCACACGTGTGTAACTGCAAGGTCACGCCTGGGCTCCACTGGCCCCCACAGGCACTCTCCAAGTAGGATCCTCACTTCAGAGCCCCCTCTTACCTTGGCTACCTTTTGAAACACCTCCCTCCTGGACAAGACTGAAAGAATCCCCTTTTAAATTATTTGGACTATCTGAGCTCCCTGGGTGGCGCAAGCAGTTTGCAATTGCTGCTAACATAAAGGTTGGCAGTTCAAACCCATCCAGTGACTCTGTAGAAGAAAGGCCTGGAGAACTACTTCCATAAAGATTACAGCCAAGGGAGAAAAGTGGGGTGCAGAACTCAAATTCTAGTAAAAAGACCAGACTTAATGGTCTGACTGAGACTGGAGGGACCCTGGAAGACATGACCTCCAGACTCTCTGTTAACCCAGAACTGAAACCATTCCCGGAGCCAACTCTTCAGACATAGATTAGGCTGGACTATAAGACATAACATGATACTCATGAAGATAGTACTTCTTAGCTCAAGAAGATACATGAGACTAAATGGGCAGTTTCTGTCCAGGAGCGAGATGAGAAGGCAGAAGGGGATGGGAGCTGGTTGAATGGACACGGGAAATCTGGGGTGGAAAAGAGGAGTGTGCTGTCACATTATAGGGAGAGCAGCTAGGGTCACATAACAATGTGTGTATAAAGTTTTGTATGAGAAACTAACTTGAACTGTAAACTTTCACTTAAAGCACAATAAAAAAAAAAATTTTTAAAAGATTGCAACCAAGGAGGGGTGGAAATTACAGCCAAGAAAACCCTGAAGGGCACAGTTTATTCTGTGACACATGGGGTCTCCATGAGTTGGAAGTGACTCAACAGCAGCGGGTTTGGATTGGGTTTTGATTATCTGAAAGTGATACTTCAGGCAGTTATGGCCACAGTAGGACCCCAAGACTAAGCTCAGAACTCCACAAAGCAGGACCCATTTTTCAGCTACAGTCCTGTTTTCCTGATCCCATCACAGCTTGCGGAATCCAGTAGGTTTGCAGGATCTTACACTATGAGTCGGAATTGACTCAATGGCAACGGGTGTATACTTCTAAGCGGAACTGAGGCTAAAGGCAGAGTCCAGTGCAAATACTATTTCTTCCCACGAGGTTCTGAAGTCTTCCAAAGACATGGCAGGCAAAGACCTATAATCCACATCCTTTGAAGGAACATTCCTGATCCCACATCAATTTGTGCCATCTAAAAAGGCAAGTCCATTAGTTAATGACTTAGTCGTACACACACGTCCCATACTCCAGCTTTGTTTAATGATGTTACCACCAGGTGTGTTGTTAGGTGCCATCAAGTCGGTTCCGACCCATAGCGATCCTATGTACAACAGAATGAAGCGCTGCCCCGTCCTGTGCCATCTTCACAATCATTGTTATGCTTGAGCCCATTGTTGCAGCCACTGTGTCAATCCATCTCATTGAGGGTCTTCCTCTTTTTCGCTGACCCTTTACTTTACCAAGCATGAGATCCTTCTCCAGGGACTGGTCCCTCCTGATAACATGTCCAAAGTATGTGAGGTGAAGTCTCGCCATCCTTGCTTCTAATGAGCATTCAGGCTGTACTTCTTCCAAGATATATTTGGTTGTTCTTCTGGTATATTCAATATTCTTCACCAACCCCATAATTCAAAGGCGTCAATTCTTCTTTGGTCTTCCTTATTCATTGTCCAGCTTTCGCATGCACATGAGGTGATTGAAAACACCATGGCTTGGGTCATGTGCACCATACTCCTTAAAGTGACATCTTTGCTTTTTACATTTTAAAGGGGTCTTTTGCAGCAAATTTGGCTAATGCAATGCACTGTTTGATTTCTTGACTGCTGCTTCCATAGATCTTGATTGTGGATCCAAGTAAAATGAAATCCTTGACACTTCAATCTTTTCTCCTTTTATCATGATGTTGCTTATTGGACAAGTTGTGAGGATTTTTGTTTTCTCTTTGTTGAGATGTAATCCATACTGAAGGCTGTAGTCTTGGATCTTCATCAGTAAGTGCTTCAAGTCCTCTTCACTTTCAGCAAGCAAGGCTGTGTCATTTGCATATCACAGGCTTTTAATGAGTCTTCCTCCAAATCCTGATGCCCCGTTCTTCTTCATATACTCCATCTTCTCAAATTATTGGCTCACCATACAGATTGAATAGGTATGGTGAAAGGATACAACCCTGATGCACACTTTTCCTGACTTTAAACCATGTAGTATCCCCTTGTTCTGTTCAAACGACTGCTTCTTGGTGTAAGTACAGGTTCCTCATGAGCACAATTAAGTGTTCTGGAATTCCCACTCTTCGCAATGTTATCCATAATTTGTTATGATCCACACAGTTGAATGGCTTTGCATAGTCATTAAAACACAGGTAAACACCTTTCTGGTATTCTCTGCTATCAGCCAGGATCCATCTGACACCAGCAGTGTGATATCTTTTGTTCCACATCCTCTTCTGAATCCAGCTTGGATTTCTGGCAGTTCCTTGTCAATGTACTGTTGCAACCGCTTTTGAATGATCTTCAGCAAAATCTTACTTGCATGTGATATTAATGATATTGTTTGATAATTTCCACATTCTGTTGGATCCCTTTTCTTCGGAATGGGGTTAAATACGGATCTCTCGCAGTTGGTTGGCCGGGTAGCTGTCTCCCAAATTTCTTGGCATAGATGAGTGAGCACTTCTAGCACTGCATCTTGTTTGTTGAAACATCTCAATTGGTATTCTGTCAATTCCTGGAGCCTTGTTTTCACCAATGCCTTCATTGCAGCTTGAACTTCTTCCTTCAGTACCATCTGTTCTTGATCATATGCTACCTCCTGCAATCGTTGAATGCTGACCAATTCTTTTTGGTACAGTGACTCTGTGTATTCCTTCTATCTTCTTTTGATGCTTCCTGTATCATTTAATATTGTCCCCATAGAATCTTTCAATATTGCAACTTGAGGCTTGAATTTTTTCTTCAGTTTTTTTCAGCTTGAGTAATGCTGAGCGTGTTCTTCTCTTTTGGTTTTCTAACTCCAGGTCTTTGCACATGTCATCATAATATTTTACTTTGTCTTTTCAAGCCACCTTTTGAAATCTTCTGTTCAGCCCATTTACTTCATCACTTCTTCCATTCGCTTTAGCTACTCGATGTTCAAGAGTAAGTTTCAGAGTCTCTTCTGACATCCATTTTGGTCTTTTCTTTCTCTCCTGTCTTTTTAATGACCTCTTGCTTTCTTCATGTATGATGTTCTTTATGCCACTCCGCAGCTAGTCTGGTCTTCAGTCATTAGTGTTCAATGCGTCAAATCTATTCTTAAGATGGTCTCTAAATTCAGGTGGGATATACTCAAGGTTGTACTTTGGCTCTCGTGGACTTGTTCACAAGTCACCAGATGACTCCCCCTAAAAACCTGGGAGACACACAGGGAAGACTGGGGAATGTATGGCTTTGGGGTCTTATTCCTGAATGTGGCCAGGAGTGAGCTTATTTCAGCATTCTTCTCACTCTTTTCTAGAGGGAGCAGGAGTACCCAAAGGCTTGACTGAGACTGTTGCCTAAACTCACCCCCACCCCTGTAGGTCAGTTGATCTCAGACCAGGGAGAGGTCATTGGAAACAATAGAGATCACAGACTTGTCTTCCTGGAAATGTTACTGGGGCCTTTGGACAAAGGTCACAGGTCACTGTTATAAATTAAATTGTGTCCGCCAAAAATATGTGTTGTAAATCCTAACTCCTTTACCTGTGGATGTAATCCCATTTGGCAATAGGGTTTTCTTTGTTATGTTAATGATGCCCAATCAGTGTAGGATATGTTTTAAGCCAATCATTTTTTTAAATTTTGTTTGTTTTGTTGTTGTTGAGACTATACACAGCAAAACATAAAAATATGGAATGCTTCTCGAATTTGCATGTTATGCATGTGCAGGTGCCATGCTAATCTTCTCTGTATCATTCCAATTTTTGTACGTGTGCTGCCGAAGCGAGCACTAAGTCCGGGGGCAGATTATCCTATAGGCAAGGTAAGTACAGTGCTTACCTTGCTTACCAGATCATCCGTAGTGAACAATTTCACATGGGTTTCACCATATCATGATCACTGCAGATTAGTAAGTAAGCACAAGCAAACCCGTGCTTACCTTGCTTACTGGATAATCTGCCCCTGACTAAGCCAATCACTTTTGAGATATAAAAGAAGGTTAGGCACAGAAACAAACAAGCAATAACAGGGAAGACAGACACCACCTGAAGGACACCAAGGAATGTGGAAAAGAACCCTGGAGAAGCTGAGACAAAGATTTTCCCCAGAGTGGACAGAGAGCCTTACCTTGGAGCTGACGCCCTAATTTCAGACTTCTAGCCTTCTAAACTGTGAGAAAATAAATTTGTGTTTGTTAAAGCCATCCGCTTGTGGTATTTCTATTATAGCAGCACTAGATAGCAAAGACCATCACTGAGGAGGCACTTTAGTCTGGTGGTTGTGAGCTCGAGTTCTGAAGTCAAGCACCCTGGTTTGGATTCTGAGCTCTCTGAGTTACTCCCTGTGGGAGCTTAAGCAGATTTATTGATATCCCTAAGCTTTGGTTCCCCCATGTGTCTGTCAGTTTGTTGTACTGTGGGGGCTTGCATGTTGCTATGATGCTGGAAGCTATGCCACCAGTATTTAAATACCAGCAGGGTCACCCATGGCGGACAGGTTTCAGCCGAGCTTCCGGACTAACACAGACAAGGAATAAGGACCCTGTGGTCTACTTCTGAAAAGAATGGTCCAGTGAAAACCTTATGAATAGCAGTGGAACATTGTCTGACATAGTGCCTGAAGATGAGCCCCTCAGGTTGGAAGGCACTCAAAAGACGACTGGGGAAGAGCTGCCTCCTCAAAGTAGAGTTGACTTTAATGACATGGATGGAGTCAAGTTTTCAGGACCTTCATTTGCTGATGTGGCACAACTCAAAATAGGAAGAAACAGCTGCACACATCCGTTAATGATTGGAACCTGGAATGTACGAAGTATGAATCTAGGAAAATTGGAAATCATCAAAAATGAAACGGAATGCATAAAGATCGATATCCCAGGCATTAGTGAGCTGAAATGGACTGGTATTGGCCATTTTAAATCAGACGATCATATGGTCTACTATGCCAGGAAAGAAAACTTGAAGAGGAATGGCCTTGCATTCATCATCAAAAAGAACATTTCAAGATCTATCCTGAAGTACAACGCTGTCAGTAATAGGATAATATCCATACGCCTACACAGAAGACCAGTTAATACGACTATTATTCAAATTTACATACCAACCACTAAGGCCGAAGATGAAGAAACTGAAGATTTTTACCAACTTCTGCAGTCTGAAATTGATCAAACATGCAATCAGGATGCACTGATAATTAATGGTGATTGGAATGCCAAAGTTGGAAACAAAGAAGAAGGATCGGTAGTTGGAAAATATGGCCTTGGTGATAGAAACGATGCTGGAGATCACATGATTGAGTTTTGCAAGACCAAGAACTTCTTCACTGCAAATATCTTTTTTCACCAACATAAACGGCGACTATACACATGGACCTCACCAGATAGAATACACAGGAAGCAAATCGACTACATCTGTGGAAAGTGATGATGGAAAAGCTCAATATCATCAGCCAGAACAAGACCAGGGGCTGACTGCAGCTCAGACCATCAATTATTCATATGCAAGTTCAAGATGAAACTGAAGAAAATTAGAACAAGTCCACGAAAGCCAGAATACAACCTTGAGTATATCTTACCTGAATTTAGAGACCATCTCAAGAACAGATTTGACTCATTGAACACTAATGACTGAAGACCAGATGAGTTGTGGAAGGGCATCATACATGAAGAAAGCAAGAGGACATTAAAAAGACAGGAGAGAAAGAAAAGACCTAAATGACTGTCATAAGAGACTCTGAAACTTGCTCTTGAACATCAAGTAGCTAAAGCAAAAGGAAAAAATGATGAAGTAAAAGAGCTGAACAGAAGATTTCAAAGGGCAATCCAAGAAGACAAAGTAAAGTATTATGATGATATGTGCAAAGACCTGGAGATAGGAAACCAAAAGGGAAGAACACGCTCAGCATTTCTTAAGCTGAAAGAACTGAAGAAAAAATTCAAGCCTTGAGTTGCAATTCTGAAGGATTCTACTTGGAAAATATTAAACGACGCAGGAAGCATCAAAAGAAGAGAGAAGGAATACACAGAGTCACTATACCAAAAAGAATTGGTCGACTTTCAACCATTTCAGGAGGTAACATATGATCAGGAACTGATGGTGCTGATGGAAGAAGTCCAAGCTGCACTTAAGGCATTGGCAAAAAATAAGGCTCCAGGAATTGACAGAATAGCAGTTGAGATGTTTCAACAAACAGATGCAGCACTGGAAATGCTCACTCGTCAATGCCAAGAAATTTGGAAGACAGCTACCTGGCCAACCGACTGGAAGAGATCCATATTTATGTCTATTCCCAAGAAAGGTGGTCCAACCGAATGCGGAAATTATCAAACAATATCATTAATATCACATACAAGCAAAATTTTGCTGAAGATCATTCAAAAGCTGCTGCAACAGTATATCAACAAGGAATTGCCAGAAATTCAAGCTGGATTTAGAAGAGGAGGTGGAATGAAAGATATCATTGCTGATGTCAGAGGGATCCTGGCTGAAAGCAGAGAATACCAGAAAGGTGTTTACCTGTGTTTTATTGACTATGCTAAGGCATTCTGTGGATCATAACAAATTACGGATAACATTGCAGAGGATGGAAATTCCAGAACACTTAATTGTGCTCATGAGGAATCTGTACATGGATCAAGAGGCAGTCGTTCGAACAGAACAAGGAGATACCGCATGGTTTAAAGTCAGGAAGTCAGTGTTGTATCCTTTCACCATACGTATTCAATCTGTATGCAGAACAAATAATCCAAGAAGCTGGACTATATGAAGAAGAACAGGGCATCAGGATTGGAGGAAGACTCATTAACAACCTGTGTGATGCAGATGACACAACCTTGCTTGCTGAAAGTGAAGAGGACTTGAAGCACCTACTGATGAAGATCAAAGACCACAGCCTTCAGTGTGGATTACATCTCAACAAAAAGAAAACAAAAATCCTCACAACTTGTCCAATAAACAACATCATGATAAACGGAGAAAAGATTGAGGTTGTCAAGGATTTCATTTTACTTGGATCTACAATCAACACCCATGGATGGAAGCAGTTAGGAAATCAAAAGACACATTGCATTGGGCAAACTGCCTCAAAAGACCTCTTTAAAGTGTTGAAGAGCAAAGATGTCCCCTTGAGGACTAAGGTGGACCAGACCCATGGTGTTTTCAATCGTTTCATATGCGTGTGAAAACTGGACAATGAACAAGGAAGACCAAAGAATGGATGCCTTTGAATTGTGGTGTTGGCAAAGAATATTGAATATACCATGGACTGCCGAAAGGACAAACAAACTGTCTTGGAAGAAGTATAACCAGAATACTCCTTAGAAGCAAGGATGGCGAGACTATGTCTCACAAACTTTGGACATATTATCAGGAGGGATCAGTCCCTGGAGAAGAACATCATGCTTAGTAAAGCAGAAGGTCAGCGAAAAAGAGGAAGACCCTCAATGAGATGGATTGACATAGTGGCTGCAACAATGGGCTCCAACATAGCAACAATTGTGAGGATGGTGCAGGACTGGGCAGTGTTTCGTTCTGTTGTGCATATGGCCGCTATGAGTCAGAACCAACTCGACAGCACCTAACAACAATAAGCTTTGGTTTCTTCATCTGTGAAATGAGGATATAATAGTACTTACCTCATAGGGTAGTTGTGGAGTATAAATTAAACAATGTCAGTAAAGCATTGAGGCTGTCACATGCGGGGGCAGATTATCCAATATGCAAGGTAAGCACAGTGTGTACTTTGCTTACCAGATCATCTGTAGAGAACAATTTTACATTTTTTCACCACATCAAAGATTCTGCTTCTACGTATGGCTGGACTCTGTCTCTCTCCCAATCCCACAGCACCTTCCTACAGAATCAAAGCCTCTTTTCAAATTTACAATCCCTGACAGGGGTGAATGACTCAGTAAGCAAGGTAAGCACAGGCTTACTTATGCTTACTTACTAATGTCTAATTAACAGTTTCATATGTTAAATTGTGAAATTGTTCACTACAGATGATCTGGTAAGCAAGGTAATCACTGTGCTTACCTTACCTGTTGGATAATGCACCCCTGTGCATCATAAATCCTCAACAAATATTAGCTATTATTATCATTATGTTTTATTATTGGGTTCTAGACCTGGCCCACCCCAAGAGATCCTGAGGGAGAGTGACCATCTCTCTGGGACTCGGTGTGTTATGGGCCCATCCAGGCTGTCTCAGCTCTATATCCAGCCAGATGCGGCTCAGTAAGTACAGCAGATGAGGCAGCTGGGAGGGCTGGGATCCTGACAGGACCACCCATCGGGCTGGGGAAGGTGCTGGCAGGACAGCCTAAGCTGCAGCTGCTAGGCAGCCATCCAGGGTGACAGGCAGTGTGCAAGTGTGTGGAAACAGACAACAGGTGGCGGCTTACTGGGGAGGGGAGTGGCAGATCACCCAGAATTTGGCAACAGGGTGTTCTGACCAGCAGGTGGATCGAAGCAATGGGCAATTCCAGAGGGGTATTCTGGAATCCAAGCAGGCACACAACAACAGGAAAGTCTGTCAGCAGATCCCAGAGCCCAACAAAATGCTAGATCTGCTGGGGGGAAGCCAGCGAGAGCAAAGCAGAGCCTCAAGCCTAGAAGGACTGCCAGGTTATCAGGACAGACACAGGTAGCAGTCACATTACCAGAACATGGGCATCCAGCCTGCAGGAGAAAGAAGGGATGCATGGGCTGGGAGTGTGGCAAGTCTTGATGCGGTCCAGCCCTACCTGTGCCCCCTGAGCCTGGGTTGGGCCAACTGCAAGTGCGATCAGAGC